CAATGTCTAACAACTTGGTATTACAAGCACTTCCTGTGTCTGTTGCCTCTTTAAAAAGAATCGCTTTATGTATCCCCCAATTGTAAGTCGCTTTGGATAAAAGCGTCTGCTAAATGACTAAATGTAAATGTAAACACAGGCTTAAAGTGGAAGTGAAGCAGTCAGTCAAGTTTACATTATTTAGTAAATTAATTTCCACTTTAATTAAAAATATATATAACAAGCACTATTAATGTAACCGTTTTAAAGAAAAAAGGATGTTTTGTTACCGCTTTTGGAGAAAGGTCGCCGCCATCTTGCAGTACCACCGCGTGTGACGTAACGGGGTTGGTTCACTCCGTTAGCCAGTTAAGTAATATATAAGCATTTCTTTACTTTCTGAACACACAAATGTTATTTTAACACACAAATGTTTTGATTTTCACCATAATTTGGATGAATATTCAACATGTACAATATTTATATCAATATCACCTCATCTATATCACAAAGTTTTGATCATTATATTCCAAACATTGTTTTCATAACGCGAGGTGCAACGTGATGTAAACAAACAACGCTTCATACAGTATCATTCATTTGGCATCTTATGTCAGACCTTTCAGACATATTTGCATTACACTGGCTCATTCACCAGTAGTGGTATGTAACATATTTTATGTTCACCTGCGAATTCACCGGCTGTTAAGAGAATGCAGTTTAACTAAACACCTATCTGAATGATCGGGCTAGTGCTGCTTTATCATTCTCACATGTTTTAAGCCTTGTCAGTTTAAACATTAAAGCGTTTTAAAACATTCAAAAGTGAGTCGAAAGAGATTTTAATGTGGTACCCACGCGATGTGACAGATTGTTTCTTTGCGCACACACTCTCTCTCTCACACACACACACACACACACACACACACACACACAGACGCAAAAAGCGCTCTGCTCGGATACCAAACTGTGTCCTCTTTCTAGTCTGCTTGAGCAAATGCACAGCATATTATGTTAATGGCTGTTTTGAGAGTATACATGCAAACACGATTTGTTTAAGACCCACTCTTCACCCCAAACCAGAGCAGGTTCACCCCAGCAAACAGGGGACGTCCCCCGGACGTTCCAAACGTCCGTTTAGGTCCGCAGTACATCCGCTTTGTAACGTTCGCGGGCGGACGTTCGGAGGACGTTCGGATTTGGTCCTCTTTTTGACGTTCGCTGGTGGACGTTTTGAGGACGTCCGGTTTTGATCCGCTTTGTAACGTTCGCTGACGGACGTTCTGAGGACATTTGTCGGAGCCAGTTTGCGAACATCCCTGTTTCGTGCCTCATCTGCCATTTCCATTACAACACTTGAAAAATCCAGTCGCCCATGCGTGGGCTTTTATCATCAGACCTGACCAGTGTTGGGGAGTAACTAGTTACATGTAACTACATTACGTAATTTAATTAAAATAGATGTAACTGTAATCTGTTAGTTACTTATGAAAATGTTAATGATTACAAAGGGAGTTACATCTGAATATTTTCACACATATACAGTATTTAAAATATGAGACACCAATGTTTCAGGAGTTGAGGACACAGAATAGGACACATGCTTATTCGATAACTGTTTTATTTCCTATTTTGGTTTATGTATATGATTTGTTTTTTTAAAGATTAACAGTAAAATTAAACTAAAATATAAACCCATGTTGGATTTTAAAGGGTATCATTCCTTAAAACAAAATTCCTTTTTGTTAACTGTGATAATAGAATGCAAAATGCAAAAGAATGCCAAATGTTTTGCAGACTGATATTATTATTATTTTTTACTATAGTATAATAGATTTGAATACATTGTAAAATGAAGTTAATGTTAAATTAATAATTTTCATTTCTGGAAAAATGGAAAAAGAAAATAGGAGTAACTTCTGTAATTAAAAATGTCATCAAATCAGGAGTCTGTTTTCAGCATTTAAACATCAAAATCATGATACCCTTCAATAATATAATTGAACATATAGGTTACAAATAGCTTTATGCAGTCCCCATGCATGAAGAAAATAAGGTTGCATCCCAAGAGCTCTACAAGAATGTTATAGAGTGATGAATGCAGCCAAGGAAAACATGAAGAAAAGAAAGTGGAAAATAACACAGGTACGACAAATAAATTCATTCTTTCCATTTATATATTAAACCGACAAGAAAAGTTATTTAGGAAAATTATTATTTTAGTTATTGCATTTAAGACTGCTATACCATGTGCAGCTCAAAAAAAAAAGTAATGTAGCCTATGTCCTAATGTGGCTATAAGCAAGCGTCGATCAAATGAGCACATGATCGAATGACATCACTTTAGGGCACGCAGCATATCCATGGCAACGCTCAGCTGCG